CTCAAACTTGCTGATGGCAAATTAAAACTTACTTTACTTTTGAAAGTAGACTTCTAAAAATTAGAAGAATGAGGAAAAAGGCATGAAATTTGTTTGAACAAGAGACTGTCTTCAAAGCTACTTTGGAATTCTATGCTAACACATAAAAATTGTTTGAATTAAAAAGCAGCCAGGGACTTTAGCCAAAGTAGTTTGTTTGTTTGCTTTTATGCTCAAAGATTTAAGAGACAGCCAGGTGTGGTGGCTCATGCCTGTAATCCCAGCACTTTTGGAGGCAGAGGTGGGCAGATCACCTGAACGTTGAGAGTTCGAGACCAGCCTGACTAACACGCAGAAACCTCAACTCTCAAAAAAAAAAAAAAAAAAAAAAACCACACACACACAAAAAAAACAAAAAAACGTCCACAAAATCAGCTGGGTGTAGTGGTACATGACTGTAATCTTAGCTACATGGGAGGCTGAGGCAGAATTGCTTGAACCTGGGAGGTGGAGGTTGTGGTGAGTCAACATGGTGCCACTGTACTCCAGTCTGGGCAATAAGACAAGAGGAAAACTCCATCTCAAAAAAAAAAAAAATTAATTAAATTAAAAAATAATAAAGAAAAAAAAGAAAAAGAAAAGGAAAAAGATTGAAGAAACTTGGCTGACTACAGACATTTAGTGATTACTCAATAGGTCCCAAAGGTCAGCACCTAAGACATAATCTGATTCCAATTTTTGCTGAAACACAATTTCATCTCAACTATTGTTATAAGGGAGGGAGGAAAGTGACATTATTATGAGTGTAAACCTGCCATTTTTAATTAAAGTTACTGACAATTGAATTAGCTAAGAAGGCTAGTGCATTCAAAACAAAATTGTTTATAAGCTAGCTAGTTATATTTCTAGAATGAAAAGTAAACCTATATTTAAGGACATTAATATTCTAAATTAGCACTTTGCAAACTGTGTTCTAAAAATCAACACTCATAACCAAGGAGATGATAATAATGTACACTGGACAGCCCCTGTGGTGGTGGTATTGGTGGTTGTTCCTTTTGAAAGATAAACTTCATCTCAGAGTGCTCTCAAAGAGCATCTTTGTGGCCCATGAGGTGCTCATGCACAATGGGAGAAATTCAAATGCAATTACACTGTGGTGCCTTAGGAGAAAAAGCTGTTCCTTCTTCTAAGACTAATGTCCAAAGTAGTACACATTGACTTAGGCCTGCAACACATTGAGAAACTAATTTTTCACAAAAAACATTCAATAAAGGGAACCTGTCCTTCCTACTGCATTCAACATTCTCTTAAAGCATAAAGGCATCAAATAAATAGCAACACTTTTTCTGAAATTGCTTATTTGCTAAGAGATTTTTCCTTCCACCATGATGTAGAAGATGAAAAGGGAAATTGATACTTAATATTTAGAATCTGGTATCGACATATAGTTGACTCCAATTTCTTAAACTGATTGAAGAGGAAAACCAAGTGGCTGAAATAATTTTAATCTGTCCCTTGGCAGTATAGTTGTACTCACGATTTTAGTGTCGTTTTAAGGTGAGGCAAGCTGGCTGTGCTGTCTTCTACGAAAATGGTTGAGCATGAGCTGAACTTCAAGGAAAAACGATCCATATGTATCTAAAGAGGAAGGGGAGGATAAGGTAAACTTATCAAAGTGTGTTTTTTGTTTTTTCTCAGTCAAAATGTCAAATGACAAAGCACTAAGATATTTCTTACACTCCATGAACTGCCTGAGTGTGATATCATGTGCACTGTATAGAAAAACCATTGGAGGCTCTTAACTTCCAGAGATTATATTGAGATATGAGTTAGAAAATGCTGCTCTTAATATGCTACCTGTCATCAAACCTAACAAGGATTTTATGAATTCTCTTTATATATAACGATAAAAGTTTAAAATACAATTTCATTGTTTTTTTCTACCACGATATAAAGCAGCTGAGAATTTCTATTAATTTATTACAATAAAATGCAATGTATTAAATAATACCAGTACAAGAGAAATTTATTGCAATGAATACAAGACTAATGCATTTACAAACTTACTAATCCTACATGTATTATTTCAGGCAATATTGTGACAAAACAGGTGTTTCACATTCAGAGGTTCTGTGTGCCAGGGTTGCTAGGCCACCACCAAGTGAGGAAGCCCTAGGTTTCTCTAGTCCTGCTTTCTTATGTGGAGGATAAAAGGATTATCATTTAAATATTCTCTCACACCCTGAAAACAGATAACAACTTATAAATTTTTAACTTTCACCTCATATTTAAATAAGACTACCATGACATGACTCAAATGAAACTCTCAGAGAACATTGCCATTCATTTCAAAAGTTGATTAATTTAATTCTATAAATCATCTGACCTGCACCTAGGCATTTTCCTGCTATACCCTTGCTCTCTGCCTAGAACACTGTTTTTCTCTCTCCTTGTTTCAGCAAGCTTGATTCCATCTACCTTCTTGGATCTTTTTGCCAGCAGCCACACACAAAAAACTTTTGTTTTTGTTTTTCTGTACACTGATTAATCAAATTCACCACTGGTTAGAAGATACTAATTCTTGCTGAGTATTTCCCTCATGAGAAAGTATGCCTCTCCATAAGAGTAAGGAGGGGCTCTTACTCTTTCTACATCCAGCTGCTGAGCACAGAATTTTGAGTAAATCAAAAACTTCGACAAGTATTTAATAAATTAATTCAGTTATAATTTGGAAAATAATCTTACTACATTTAATTACACCAAAAATACTCTTAAAGGTTTACTGTTTATAGGTATTATTTAAGGTAGCCAACAAAAAAGAAACAAATCATCTAACTGCATTCAGCATGAATAAAGACTGTGAAATTGTATGATCTTTAACAAGAAATGGAAGGGGTTACATAGTAGGTTAATAACAAAAACTAGAAGATAATTATACCTAGTAATTTAGTAAGTCAAAACCAAAGGCTTACCATCAAAGGTCCATGTAGAGGTCTTTCACTTCCTTGGTTAGGTCTATTCCTAAGTATTTTATTTTATTTTTGCAACTATTATAAAAGGGGCTGAGTTCTTGGTTCGATTCTCAGCATTCGCGGTTAAGGTACAACAGAGTTACTGATTTGTGTACACTAATTTTGTCTCCTGAAACTTTGCTAAATTCATTTATCAGTTTCTTGGAGCTTTCTGGTGGAGTCTGTGGGGTTTTCTAAGTATAAAATCGTATCAACAAACAGTGACAGTTTGACTTCCTATTTACTCATCTGGATGCCCTTTATTTCTTTCTCTTGTGTGATTGCTCTGGCTAGGTCTTCCAGTACTATGCTGAATAAAAGTAGTGAGACTGGGGCATCCTTGCCTTGTTCCAGTTCTCAAGGGGAATGCTTTCAACTTTTCCCTCTTTAGTATTATGTTGGCTGTGGGTTTGTCATAGACGGCTTTTATTACATTGAGGTATGACCTTTGTATGCCCATTTTGCTGAGGGTTTTCATCATAAAAGGATGCTAAATTTTGTCAAATGCTTTTTCTGTGTCTATTGAGATGATCATGTGATTTTTGTTTTGAATTCTGTTTATGTGGTGTAGCACATTTATTGACCTGTGTATGTTCAACCATCCCTGGATCCCTGGTATGAAACCCATTTCATCATGGTGGATTATATTTTGATATGCTGTTGGGAACCACAAAACACTGCTGAATGAATGATGGACACAAACAAAAGGAAAGACATCTCCTGCTCATGAATGGGTAGTATGAATATTGTAAAAATGACCATATTGCCAAAAGCAATCTACAAATTCAATGAAATTCCCATCAAAATACCATCATCCTTCTTCACAAAACTAGAAAAAAAAATACTAAAACTCATATGGGACCAAACAAGACTCCACATAGCAAAATCAAAATTAAGCAAAAACAACAAATCTGGAGGCATCAATCACATTCCCTAATTTCAAACTATACTATAAATCCATAGTTACCAAAACGGCGTGAAACTGGTATAAACACGGGCAAATACACCAAGGGAACAGAAGAAAGAACCCAGAAATAAACCCGAATATTTAAAGCCAAATGATCCTCAGCAAAGCCAACTAACATATAAAGTGAAGAAAGCAAACCCTATTCAACAAATGATGCTGGGAGAATTGGCAAGCTATATGCAGGAGAATGAAACTGGATCCTCAACTATCACCATCCACAAAAATCAATTCAAGATGGATCAAGCACATAAATCTATGCCTGAAACCATAAAAATTCTAGAAGACGCCGGGCGCGGTGGCTCAAGCCTGTAATCCCAGCACTTTGGGAGGCCGAGGCGGGTGGATCACAAGGTCAAGAGATCGAGACCATCCTGGTCAACATGGTGAAACCCCGTCTCTACTAAAAATACAAAAAATTAGCTGGGCATGGTGGCGCATGCCTGTAGTCCCAGCTACTCAGGAGGCTGAGGCAGGAGGCGGAGGTTGCGGTGAGCCGAGATCGCACCATTGCACTCCAGCCTGGATAACATGAGTGAAACTCCGTCTCAAAAAAAAAAAAAAAAAAAAAAAA